GACCCCGCCGATCTGCCCGAGGGGCGCCGAATTTAGCAGCGCGGCAAATCCCATTGGTTGTTTTGGCCCTGGCCCCGCCGATCTGCGCGAGGGGCGCCACCGAATTGCAGAGGCGTAGCAAATCCCATTGGTTTTTTGCGACCTGGGCCCCGCCGATCTCCGCGAGGGGCGCCGCCGAAATTTAGCAACGCGGCAAATCCCATTGGTTTCTTGGACCCTGATCCCGCCGATTTGCGCGGGGGGTGCAAATTTCGACCCACCCAGACATGCTGGGGACCCTCCCAGGAGACGCTAGGTTCGCTGGTTTTCGCCCCCCCCCCCATCCGCGCGGTCCACAAGAAGGAACAGCAAGCAGAATAAAGCAATATTGCAAGAATGGAAACTGGAAGCTGGAGCTGGCGCGGGGAACAGCAAACCCTCAGCCTACAGCCTGGTGGCCCCGCAAGGGGGCCGGCTGATTGTCCGACGCGGTCGCGGCTGCGCGGGCCCCCGGGACCAGCGGCGCGGCAGCGCCTTGGAGGCTCTCGCGCCAGTGCATCTCAGGATTCGGGCGCCTTGGACTTGGCATCGAGGGCGCCCGAGCCCCCCCCTGTTCTGGGCCGCGGCCCCTGCAGACGGTTCTCGGGGGCCCGCCGCGGGCCGACGCGGCGGAGCGCGTCGCGGGCGCGACGGCCGAAGCACGTTGCCAGATTTTAGAGGGGCTCGGGAGACACCCGATACTCGCGGGCGCCGCGGGGATCTCGAGGGCGCGGCGGCACCGCCATCATTGGTGCAAATTCCCAGTCGGCGTTGGCGCCAGTCGCCCTCAGTCGCCCATCTTCGACGCCGTCGCTCAGGCTGCCAACGCAGAGCCCGCAAAGGTTCGGCTGGAAGCGGACGCGCGCCGGGGGCCCACGTCGCGGGCCCCCAGCTTTCGCGCGAGCGAGCCCTCGGGCCCAGCCGCCCCCGACCCCCGCTGGGCCTCGAGATCGCCCACGAGGCGGGCGGCCGACGAGCGCCGCCCCCCCCCCCCCCCCAGACAAAACGCGTGCCAGGACCAGGTCGCCGCCAAGGCCGCTGGCGGCGACCGTCGCGACCTGCGCGCTCGCGAACGCCCCGATGCGTTTTCTGGCCAGGGCGCGCGGCGCCTTCCAGACCCGCGAGCGCTCGCGCTGAGGGCGCTGCGAGGCGCGCCCTGATTGACAGCAGCTCGCATGCCAGACTGGCCCGCCAGATGCTCGCGCAGGCGCCTTTCGCGGTGGACCTGATAGAAGGTCCCGCGTCTGCGTCGATTGCACAAACGGCACGCACAGCCATCGGAGCTCCCCGACAGCGGGTCGAGCCGCGGTCGAGCTCTGAAGGCCCTTGCCCGGGGGGGGTGGCAAGGAGACAGCGGCGAGGGCCTCGACGCGCGGCCTCCTGCGGCGCGCCGACCGCCGCGGGCCGGACATTCGATTGGACGCTTGCTTGCGTTTCCGGGCAAAGGCGCGGCCCCGCGCCCCCGTCGCAACCGACCGATGGCAGCGGCAATGCGCGGCAAGATAACGAGGGAAAGTCAAGCTAGCAAGCCCGTTTTGGGCCAATGTTTGATTCCCCTTTCCTGCCCTTGCGTTCCCGTATCCGCTTCGCGCCTCTTCCTGAGTCGCCATGCTGGGTGGCCGAGATTAGTGTCGCCACGATGTCATTGATTCACATGGCATATGTCCACGCAGAGGGGGGGGGCGGCCGGGCCCGAGAGCTACGTTGCGCCCCTGGACCCCTTGAAGGCAGTCAACGCGGCGGCGGGCAGATTGCGCGACGGCGCGAGGCCCGTCGTTGTGAAATCGGAGCAAGTTTACAATAACATTCTCGATGGCGATCAATTCGCGCACTTGGGGCCGTGGATAGCCGAGCTATTCGCGCGTAGGCAGAAGATGCTGAGTGGTTTGATCACCCTACTCCACCGCAGCCCCCTTTTCCTTGGGACGGCGACGGCGAGGCCGCAGTTGATCCTGACCCCGACGTCATCTGACGACGAGGGCCGGGTGGGCCCGAATCTTGCCGAAGGGTCTGCGGGCGTAGATGGCGACGGACAAGGTAAGTTCGGCCCCGGTCACATGGAGCATCGTTTGGATCGTCAATCAAATGTCTCCACGGCCAGGCCCCGCGAGATATTCTTCAAACCTGAGCAGTTGTTGGCGCGCGCGACGCAAGACATGAACACCGTGGAACATTGCGCAAAACGTCGCATCGTTGCGGGCTTGGCCAAGGGGGAACCGACCGAGAAGTTTCCGTTCGTGGGTCGCAGGAAGACGCGCAGCACGCGCGCGATCCTCTTGTATCCATACCGCATCTCTTCGAATCTAGGCGCGCCCCCAGTCATCCACCAGGTCGCCGACCTCTTCCCGACGCGAACGGGAAGCGGATGTAAGCAGAGAGTTGTGCAAGAACAGCATGATCACGATTAATTGCAACGTGGGCGAGGTCTCCGAACGTCCACAGGGGGCGCCGATGGGCGCGCGTTCCCCGATGGTTCGGCAGCCCGCTCCTGTCTCTCCTCAGTCTGCTGTGTTCCTCCTGTTTCTTTCGTCTCGCCCTCACGTTAATCGTCGCATCTATCATCGCCATCGCCACCGGCACCATCGCCGACACCACCATCACATGACCATCGTCATCATCGCCACCACCATTAGCAGCATCATCAGCAAAAGCACCATCACCATAACTGTCATCAACATCATACTCAGCATCCAAAACATTCGCGCAAACATCAGCCCCAGCATCATCAGCAGCATCATTACCAGCATCAACACCAGCAGAGCCATCCTCAGCATCATCATCAACGCCAGCGTCGGCACTGTCATCATGGTATAATGCTTCCGAAACAAAAAATATGCATTGTTTGAGGACGTCACGAGAGAAGCACCCATTTTCTCACTTTATTAGAGCAACCGCGTTGCAAGCACAACGATTCCGCTTCTTGGGTGATATTGTAGGTCGGCCAAGAACGCCCCCAACAGATGTCGCACAACAGTTACTGGACCCTTCCATTGTTGTCGAGGACGTTTCCGACGACAGCCCCATATCCGAATATCCAAAGGTTTCGCCAGCGATGTTAGCATCTTCCTGTGAAAAAAAGGATGCTTCGAGCGAGAGCACGGAGAACGCGCGCTGGACCAGCTAGTTTGCGCCCGCTCCCTTTTGCAAAAAAACCTGGGTGCAGGTGCGCAGATTCAAAGAGTCCCCGATCGACCAGGAGGTCGCAGAATTGTTGCCACAGGGCGCCGACGGCATTGACGACGCCTGTCACTCCGAGGCGCGGGCCACGGAGTTTGCTCATGTTCAGGACCATCAAGCAGGAGCTCACGTGGCAGAGCTCGGGGCCGCACGCCGCGCGCCGTCCGGGGTTTACCCCGACGCCCGTGTTTTGCCTCACTTTCACGCCGTCGCAGTGCCAGACGCTGCAGAAGGGCTTCACCCTCGATTGCGCCATGGATGAGGACTCTGGCCGCACGGGCACGTCGGACGACCAGCGCTGGCTGCACCTTTGCCGGCCGCGGCGCGCAGCGCGAGACCCGCGGGTTTTTCCTGGCGATTCGGTCTGGCGGCCCAGCGGCCCGCGGGAATTGTTTCAGTGACCTTGCCCGCGAAGTTGCCCCAACGATTTCGCGATCTGCTGCCGGAGGACGCGCCCGAGCCGGCCGCGGCGGCGACGGCCACAAGGCAAATCGACTTGCGCGCCCGCGCAAAAGAGGCAGGAAGCGGAGGATAGAGGTGGAAGAGGAGGCGGAGGAGGAGGAGGAGGAATAGGAGGAGAAACAGGAGTAGGAAACAGGAGGAGGACAAGGAAGAGGAAGGGGGGTGAAAGGAATGAGAATGAGGAGGAAAAACCGGACGAGGGGGAGGCCAGGCCGCGACGCGGGCGGGCGGAAGGCCTTCGCCAAAGCGAGAAGGAAAAGGCAAGGGGAGACAGGGAGAGGGCCTTCACGAGGACCGTCCGGTTAATGTTTGTTGGATGTGGATGGCGTTTGCCATGTGGGGCCTTTGTCAGAGCCATCTTAGGACGTTTCGGACAGTTTTGAAGCCTATTTGGGTGATTGTGGAGTTTTTTTTTCTGCATACTCGAGCCCAGGGTGAGGCAGCTGAAGCGGGTACCTGGGTCATCTTGACGGCCGCGGAGTGGAGATTTTAGGGTTCTGGGGGCTCCGCGGTTGAATTGGCGAGTGTGTACCCTCACGCCGCCCCGACCCCCCACGCGCCCCCCCCCTCACCCTCAAACGAAATGTGCGTTCCCAGTGGAAGGGGGAAGGGCGAAGGCGACAGTCAAATGTCTCACGCGTTTCGCCATTTCCAGCAAGCGGGGGTCGGCGGACCTGGCCACGCTATGGTTGATCCTTTTTTGCGGTCTTCGCGGCACGGTTTGTCGCAGGAGGCGTAAATCATCACAGGAGGGTACACGGCTCCTCTCGAGATCGAACGCGCGTTCCGACGTTTTTTAAACAACCATCGTACATACACAACGTATCTGCTGACTCGCTATCCAAGCTTATCTTGGCCAAGGAGGGCGGGCGGTGACGAAATGCCAGGTCACGCCGGGGGGCAATCAATGCTTGGGGCGAAAGTCTTGGACACGTTGGCTGAGAAGGAGAAGGAGAAAAAGACAAGAGAGGATGGGCTTTTGTCTTCGGTTCTAATCTGGCGCCGGCGTCGTCCTTGGAACCTGTCGCGCTGGATCCTTGGGCCATGGGCCAGCCATGGCGTTCCCGAAGTGACAAAGAAACCCTCAGAGGCACCAAGTCCCACTTCGGGCCCCCAGAAGATGCCCCGAAGTTATACGCTGCGTGGAGTGATTATTCATGGGGGGTGGCTGCATGCCTGTGCCAGACGCTCGATTACCACATGAGCAGGACGGTGATACGGAGGCGTGGCTCATGAGGGAGGCGGGGGGTGGGGAAGGGAGCACGGGGAGCGAGGCAACCGAGGAGGTAGGGGCGAGAGGAGAAGGGCCTCCCTTGAAGGAAGGGCCGCCCCTCTTCCTCCAGGACTCGCAGCTATCGGTGGTGCTTGCGGCCGTCAAGAGGCTCGCCGAGCAAGACCCACTCCCGAATGGTGCGGGGCGCTGGGCAACGCGGTGCCATATCTTGTAGCACTCGTCGCATCCAAAATAGGTCCGGTTCATCTTTCTGCTCATGTTGGTCGTTCCTACTCGCACCCAGCCCATCCCTCGCTCCTCTCCCGTCGTCCCCGCCCCCTCGCCGCCCTCTCCCATTCACTGAAGGCCAACTCTTCGAAAGGCTGGCTGCCAGCCTCGGCATGGCTCGGAGGTGAGAGGCATCAGGGTATAGGTTTAGGGTTTAGGGCCAACAAGAGCTTGCGCGGATCAACCCGTCCCTCCCGAAACTCTTCCCACGAGATCGACCTCTTCAACAATCTGAACGTGTCAATGCGTCTCGATGCTGCTATTGCTGGTGACGGCAGCGAGCCTGGGAGCGATTGGGGCGTCTGGGAGCACCTGGGAGCGTTTGGGGAGCGCTTGGCGCAGCCCAGGGAGCGTTTGGATCCGAAGTCCGAATCGGCGAGGGGTGCTCAAAGCACATCGATGTAGCATGTATGTGTTATCGATACATTATTGACGCTTCGCGTATCCCCACCAGCAGATCTGGGGGTTTGGCCTGTGCTCGATGGTTGCCCAATTGTGGCCGCCCCTCTTCCTAATTAGTTTGCAGGTGCACTTCGCGCGTTCTCGCGCCAATTATCTGTCGCTGTGCCCCAGCCTCGGTCATACCGCCCTCTGGACTTTTCCTTGCGGGCCGCAAGCAAAAAAAGTATCCCCACCAGCTGCTGCGCCTGTGTGCGTTTGCCTGCGAATCAGTTCATTTTGTACTGTGCATGTGCAACTGCGAGCATGTCTCGCAGGTACGAACGGCTGTCGACAGTGGCGGTTGTTCGCAATTCGTTCCGTACTGCATCCCGGACGCTGCGTCTGCTCCTTGACATTTCCCTTGGAGCCGCGAAACAAAAAAGTATCCACACCAGTGATCTCGCTGCGGTCGCCGCGGCTGGTCTTCACTCGCCGGGTTGTCTGCGCCGGCCTGGGCGTGTAATTTGGGTCATTTTGTCCCTCGCATGTGCATACGCCACTGCGGCCAATTATCGTCGCTGCGCGCCCCGTTCGATGCCCCGTTCCTCGACCTTCGCCTGGGAGCCGCCAACCAAAAAAGTATCCCCACCAGGTCGCGCGGCCCGCTCGGACCTTGACACGCCGTCTGCGCGCTCGCCTGCGGCTGGCAACAAAAAAAGCATCCCCACCAGCCCATCCCGAAAAGATGCCCATGAGAGTTGACGGGGGGAGAGAGGAAGAGACACGCATAGTCAAACAGCGAGGGAGGCTTGGGAGGCTCCGTGGCCATCTCGAGTCGTCTTGGAGCGGTCTTGTGGCCGCTTGGAGCATCTTGGGAGCCATGTTGAGACAGCTTGGTTAGTCTGAGCCATCTTGGAGGTCGTCTTTTGCTCTCTGAGGCCGCTCGGGTGCCTCTTGGGTGCCTCTCGGGTGCCTCTTGGAGGCCTCTTGGGGCGCTGGGGCGCTCTTGGAGCCCTCTTGGGGGCCTCTTGGGAGTCCTGGAGCGCCTCTTGGGGCAATATTGGAGGCGGTCGGTCAAAAGAGGGGGGGTCCTCGATTTCCCTTCCACCCCTCGAAGGCCACGATCCTCGTGAGTGATGTTAAACATTTACACTGGCAGGGGCCGAAAAAGAACCCTCTGACACCTCGCGGCCCCTCTCAAAAAGCCTCGGAGAGGGGAAGGGGAGGGTGGAAGAGGGGTTGTGGAAGAGGAACTAGACCCTCGTTAGACCACCTGTCGCCTAAAAGGCTGGTGGGATTACTGACCCTCCTGCTGTGTTGGGCCATCGTTTCGAAAAGAGAGAGCGCCCCGCGTCACTCCCACCCGCTGCCCCCTCCTCCCTCTTTCAGATCGTGCCTCTCTTCTCCGCGTGCCAATTTAGGCACGACCCTCACTCCCACCCGCTGCCCACGTTTCCCTCGTCCAATGCTTGCCTGTGTTCTCCGCATGCCGGTTTCGGCACGACCCTCACGTTTCGTGACCCCATAGGAATTGTCCCCGAAGGCCCCAGAGGGAGCGTTCGCATGTGAACTTCACGCTCGTTTCGGCACAACCCTCACGCGCTTTGTGACCCAACAGGGAGCTCGTCCGAAGGCGCTGAAGGGAGCGTTCGCATGTGGGCGTCACGCCCGTTGCCGCACACCCCTCACGCGATTCGTGACCCCATCGGAATTTCCCCCGAAGGCCCCAGAGGGAGCGCTCGCATGTAGGCGTCACGCCCGTTTCGGCACACCCCTCACACGTTGGCTGGCCCCATAGGTGGTTCCTCCGAAGGCCCCAGAGGGAGCGTTCGCATGTTGGCTTCAAACCCGTTTCGGCACAACCCTCACGCGCATTGTGACCCAACAGGGAGCTCGTCCGAAGGCTCTGAAGGGAGCGTTTGCATGTGGGCGTCACGCCCGTTGCCGCACATCCCTCACGCGATTCGTGACGCCATACGGAGCTCCTCCGAAGGCCCCGAAGGGAGCGTTCGCATGTTGGCGTCACGTCCGTTTCGGCACACCCCTCACACGTTTCGTGACCCCACAGGGAGCTCCACCGACGGCTCCAGTGGTGGTGTCCACAGGTTGCCACCCCACCCATCTTGGCACACCCCTCATACGCTTCGTGGTCCCATGGGAGCTCCACCGAAGGCGACATTCACAACGACGGTTTATGTCCTTGCCCCCTTGTGCCCAGGCTCTTCGGGGCCACGGGGTGGATTGATGTTTAAGATAAGCAAGCGTGCGCCGCGTAAATCTCGTTGGATCGTTATGTGGGCGCTTGGAGGTGTCCCCCACCCCCCTCCCTGGATTCAAGCGTGTTGGGGGGTTCGAACTTCCCCCCCCCTCATAGGGGCGGGGGGGGGTTCGATACCCCTCCCGGGCCGACGCCGGCGGCGGCTGGTGGTGGCGGCGGGGAGCGTCGACGAGGACAACGATTCAAGGGCGAAGGGGGTTCGAACCCCGGCGGCGGCGGAGGGGAGCGCCGAAAAGGACGGCGACGACGACGACGACGATGGCGACGACGACGAATACGACGGCGATGACGACGACGACGACGACGACGACGACGACGACAACGACGATGGAACCGACGACGACGACGACGGCGACGACGACGACGACGACGGCAGCGGCGACGACGACGACGACGACGACTGCGGCGACGACGACTGCGACGGCGAGCACGACGACGACGACGACGACGACGACTGTGACTGTGACGACGACGACGACGACGACGGCGGCGACGAGTACTGCGACGACGACGGCGACGGCGATGACGACAATGGCGACGACGACTGCGACGGCAAGCACGACGACGACGACGACGACGACGACGACGACGACGACGACGACGACTGCGACGACTGCGACGACGGCGACGACGACTGCCACTACGACGACTACAACGACGACGACGACGACGACGACGACGACGACGACGACGACGACGACGACGACGACGACGACGGCAACGACGACGTCGAAGACGACGATGTCGACGACGACGGCGACGACGTGGGGGAGTGGGAAGCGAGTTGGGTCAAGCAGAACGGAGCGAACGAGGACGGGGGGAGCGCTCACCGACAGTGTCTTTTTGGATTTCACCCACCTGGGCCATGCGGAATGGGTGAGATCCCGTAAAAAAAAACGGCCTGGGCCTAGCGAAAGAGGTTAGATCCCGTTAACAAGCGGTGGGAGAGCGCACCCTCCATCCTCGAACGAGGACGGGGTGCGCTCACCCACAGTGTTTTTTCAGGATCTCACCCATCTGGGCCTAGCGAAAGGAGTGAGATCCCGTTTATATGTGTATACATTTATACTTATATGAGTAAGGATTTTGTTTTTTTCATGGGTGAGCGCGTTTTCGGCGACCACAGGTCTGCGCTCTAGGATTTACACTACGCGTTCACGTCTGCAGGCCTCGCCACGATGTGGATTGGTTCCCGCCAGGTCGCGTCGCCACGATCCGTATCAGACAAGTGGCACGCGTGCCCGAAGGCTCTGGCACAACCAGGCATCGAAGGACGGAGGGAGGCCGGGGTGGGGAGCACGAACGAAGGACGAAGGCACGATAGGGCGGGGCGAGAAATGTCAAGGCGCCCCGGCAAGCCCGCGTGGGTATTCCGAGAGGGCCGACCTGGAGAGGTCGGGGGGGAAGGGGGGGTGGGGGAGAGAGAGGGCCCCAACAGGCGCCCAAGAGGCTTTCCAAGACGCACTCAAAGCCCCTCATAAGGCCGAGGCCCCCCAAAAGTTGCCCCAAGAGAGTCTGGCAGTGTTGCCATGTGCGGAGGCTGCGGGGGGACGCCAGGGGAACCAGCCTGCTGAATGGCCGATGTCGACAATGCAGGAGGCATCCGCTCTCCCGTCCTGCTCCTCTCTGCTCCTCCCTTGTCCTCCTCCCCTTGCTTCTCCGCCGTCCTCCTCCTTCGCCTCGTCCTTCTCCTCTTGGCTGGGTCGTGTCGTTATTTTCAGTTATCCGTTTTCGCTTGCATACGGTTCGGGGCAACAGCCAGTGTGCCTCTCGAGGCGCCAGCGTGGGCTTGATTTCCCACATATATCGAGATATCTTGGTATCTTCTCTTGGCCCCTTAATTCGAGATACCGGGATATCGTGTTCCTGCAGTCCTTGGCCCGGGATATCGAGATATCGTGATATCGTGTTCCCGCCCGAGGTATCGAAATACCGTCATATCGTGTTCCTGCCCGAGGTATCGAGATACCCTGATATCGTGTTCTCGCCGTCCCTGGCCCAAGATATCGAGATATCGTGATATCGTGTTTGGCCCCCTGCCTGCGTCGGTTCACGCGAGTGAGAATTTTTGAGCGCGTAGCGTTTAGCTATACAATTTGCTAAACCTCAGATATTCGGCAGGGCGGGCCCTGGTCTCTACAGCCGTCTGTCTGGCAATGCTCATACTGAGGATCGTGTCGTTGCCAAGTGGAGTTCTTTGCGTAGCGCTCGGAACGGTAAGTTTCATCGTTGTTAGATTTTACGCTTGCGCGCCGGTCGTCGATGCGACTGCGCATTAGATCTCGACGACGTGACCGGCTCATTGT